CCTTACTTACCTCCTTCAAGACCCATCTCAAGACCCTCCTCATTGACCATGCTTTCAATCACCCCGCTTCCCCCACTGCCCTCCACCTTCCCCAATCCCGACCCCCAGCTCAGGTCCGAAACGCTGACTGTCCAGTGCATTGGGACTCCCCCCCTCCCCGATGTGAAAGGCGCTATACAAATGTAATTTTGTTGTTGTTGTACCCCACAACAAACCTCTTCAACCGTGCCTTCACCTCCCCTCTCAACTCTCTACCCCCTCCTCGCTCCCTCCCTTCCCTCAACCTGACCATTTCCCCCCTGCTCAGGTCCCGACCCAACTGTCCAGCTCCTTGGGACGTCCTCCCGACATGAAAAGCGCTCTATAAATGCAATCTTGTTGGTGTTGTTGCACCTTTCAAAGATTAAGGAAAATCTGCTTCATAATTTATTTATTGTGTGGACTATTCCTGGCAAAACCACTCAAAGTAACAGCACAGAGCTCCATCTGAGGAAAGAGGAATTCATACATGACCCGTTCCATCTTGCAGAAGCGCAAACTGTATCCTGTGCAGTGAGCATAGAAAGAGGTTGGATAATAAGTGCTCCTGGACCCTACTCTGCGTGAAGGGCACTACTTAAATGCAAGTTGTTATTGTTGTTGTCGGATAGAAATCAAGAAGAAGTCCATATCTCAAACCACCTCCTCCCGATCCTCCACTGAAGGAGGAACCAGTAGAGAATCAGTCATTCATATGTTGTGAACAAAAAACAGGTGCAATGTAAGAGGGTCTCTTTGTAGCATTGAAACACTATCACAACAAAGTAAACCTGCCTTATCTATTTATTGCCTTGTGAGCCAATTCCTTGATTATACTTTTGTACCAGTTGAACTCCTGTGGTCCTTTCAAGTACCAGCATGTTAAAAATAATCACCTGAACAGACCCAAGAGTTGTTCAGGCTACTTTTATTGTAGGTACTTCTGCAATGGGGGTAATCGAGGCCTGTTGCATAAATGTCCGATTGCAATTCCCTACCTCTGTGACCTCCTTCAACCATTTGGACTCGGCTGCTCCTTTCTCACAGTAAACAATGGCCTGCTTCATGTCTCCTGTCCTATTTATCCCACCATTGGCGGGTAGGTGGGCATTAAGTCATTCTGCCACCATTGTCCAAATCTCAATTCCAGAGTCCCACTGACTTGCTCCTTCCCATCCCATCTCTTTTCGAATAGGGCCATGGGATCTTTAACGTCCATCTAAACAGGCAGAAGTGACTGTGATTCTTAGGTCTCATCCGAAGGATGAGCTTGAAGACTTGACGCGCGGCTTGAACCCATAACCCTCTAACTCAAGGGCGAGAGGGCTACCAATTCAGCAAGACTGACATAGCCTGAAATTATTATTACAGTAATTATTACTACCGAATTGGTTTGAGGACAGCATGCCTAAATATGTAATCCAAATGAACTCGGATATGTCACTGAGCTGAATGTCGCTGAGATGGGCATTTCACTCTCAGAAATGCTGAATTTGCATGCATCCAGGGAACAGTAGTGCATTTTAAAGTAGTTCACTCACCACCTATTTGTATTAATACTTAATAGCGTATCCCATTACAAAGACACAAAGTGGTGGTCACCCTAATCTGCAGTTCTATATTAGGAGTTTACAGGAAGCAAAAAANTATAAGGATGGAACACTGTGATCCGATACATGCTGTTCAATAACAGTAACAAGACTTTTTGTTCCATTTATAATAGTACGTTCAATTATAATCATACAATGAAAAGTAGAATAAAAAGTTTACCAATGTTTGTACAACGTACACTAGTGTTTGACAACACTCTGCACAAAGCTGTGTAGTGACCCAATCACCAAAAGAAATGAGAATTTAAAACATTAGGTAGAGTTTGAAATGCACACAACATTCAAGTTGCTTAAAAAAAAACAGAGGCAGAATCTATAGCATTTGTAAACACCTATATAGAAACAACTGCAACAAAGGGGCAGTTCATGTCTTAAGTCTACCGCAGCAGAATTACAAAAGAACTTGTATTCGTTTTTACCATGGATGTCCTTTGGACCTTGGAACCTACAGTTACTCTAAATGTGGTACATTTGTGCATAAACTGGTTGTTTTCTGCGTTAACTATCCAAATTCCAGGTCTTTGGGTTGCTGCAGATATCACTTCCCATAATCTGCACGCAGGAAGCACTGCTAACACTACAGACGTGTCGCACAGTTGTGATACGTATTAAATCAAATACTGTTCACAGATACTTCGCGAGACATATAGACTATTATGTACAACTGGGTAGCTTTACATACTGAGAGATCATCAATATTGGCAAATGGTTTCCCACAAAAGAGAAAGGGTTCAAAGTTCATGTTTACTGAGTTTAAGCAGCAGAAACAGCAGCTTATTCCATATAACTCGCATAAGTCTTACCTTTATAAATCGTATAATCACCTGAGTCGTACATGCACCTGAGTCCCATTCAGTTTCCTATCAAAACCCCTTAGATGTCTTTGCACTTCTTGTATTAATCACTTTCCAACTTATAACGCTGCTCCCCTACCCTCCATTGCTGCCACACTTTTGCGGGAAATGACGAGCGGATCCATTGATGCATGCTTATTACCAGCCGGCTGCAGTGAATGGCGGGAAACAAAGTCTTGATCAGTCTATGCATGTGAGCACTCTGAGACACCGTCCGGTATAGAGGGTGCTAGATAAATCCAAGTTGTTGTTGTTTTCCGTGATTCAATGTGATTCCTATGCTTGTCAGCATGCGGTGACAGATCAAGATGCATTGAATTGCAGGAAATGTAGTTTTGACCAGTCTCCCATGCGCACTTACTGGCTAAATTGAATTACACATGCGCAGTTTTACTGTAATGGCATTCCACGTCATGAACAATTTAGGACTGTTGCTCTTAACCCCTTATGTTGACGGAGTGGTGTGATGTGAAGGGTGTAAACAGAAAGAAGAAACACACAGTTTTCTTGATTTTGCAGCGTTCCAGCCAACACACCTTCTCTAATTCTCAAACGTTAACTCATATTAAGTAGCAACAAGCCTTTTCTCAAACCAAATTTACAGTGGAAGTAACTGGACTGCCACAGGGAAAACCTTATGACTGCAAGTAGGGAGAACCTTGGGAATCTGCATGGAGTGAACAATCCTGACCTTACCACGTGCCAAGAACATGTACACAGATGTCAGGGTCAGGAGTGGGAAAAGGGTTTCCAATTTGGTTTCTTGCAATTCCAGGTCCATGGTCTAAGAAAGAACTTTCAAAAAAGCACCTTATGATGAAATCTGAAAGTGCTTCACCAGTCAATTTCTGTCAAACAGTGACTGTTGCTCGGCAATCACAGCAATTATTTTGCTCCTGCAAAGTTCCACAAAGCCACAACCAAGTAATCTGGAGGACTGTTGGCCAGGACAGCAGAAGAAACCGCCTCCACTTCATCTCCACAAACGATTTCTCTTCTATCCCCCCGCACCGTTTCGTCCGGCGTTCCTCAGGGCTCTGTCCTTGGTCCCTTCCTCTTCAATATCTATATGCTGACATCATCTGCAGACATGGGGTCAACTTCCACATGTATGTGGATGACACCCAACTCTACCGCTCTGTCTCCAGGACCACTGCTGTCCTGATAGAATGTCTGTCAGAAATCAATTCCTGGATGAGAGCGAACTTTCTTCAATTGAATGTCAACAAGACCGAGGCTCTCCTGATTGGCTCCCGTCAGCACCTTCATACCTCAGGCGCTGACAGCATCACCATCCATGGTTGCACACTCCACCTTACTAAGCCAGTCTGGAACCTTGGCATCTTGCTTGACCTTCAACTATTCTTTCTACCCCACATCCGTGCCATGACTCGCTCTGCCTTCCCCCACCTCTGCAACATCGCCCGGCTCTGCCACTATCTCACACCGCAGGTCGCCGAAACCCTCATATACGCATTCATAACATCGAGGCTCAATTATGCAAGCTCCTTGCTTGGCAGCCTCCCCAACTCCTCCCTCCATAGGCTGCAGGTCATCAGACTCTGCAGCCCATGTCCAGAGCTGGGACATGGGCTCCATGATCCTATCATCCCCATCCTTGCCCAGAGGCCTCCATGGCCTTGCTCCCCCTACCTCATTGACCATGCTTTCAATCATCCTGCTTCCCCCACTGCCCTCCGCCCTCCCCGATCCCTGGAGTCCTGTAGCTCAGTGGTTAGAGCACTCGCTTTGCAAGCAAGAGACCTGAGTTCAATTCCAGGCAGAGGGCGAAACCTTGGGCAAGTTTCCTTACTCCACACAGAGCCTAATAATAATCCCTCCAAAACCAAAAACAATAATAAATTGGTCATTTTCAATCTACGACTATTTGTTGGACATTGCTGTGCGCAATTGGCTGTTCGCCCACAAATATACAGTCAATTCACTTTACAGTGTGTTCTGTGAAGTGCTTTGGGACGTCCTCCCAACGTGAAAAACGCTATATCAAATACAAGGATTATTATTATTATTATTATTCCAACCCCCAGCTCGGGTCCGAAACGCTGACTGTCCAGTGCCATTGGGACATCCTCCTGATGTGAAAGGCGCTATACAAATGTAATTGTGTTGTTGTTGTTTCTTCTCTTTGAGAATAGTGATGGCATATTAACGTCTGAACATGCAGGTTTGGTTTAATATCTTAATCAAAGTACAGCACCTCAAACGCACTCTCCTAGTACTTCAATGACATGTCAGCCTAATGTAGGAGTTCCCATGATTTGTGCCTTGAACCTATAATGTTCTGACCCTGGAGTAAGGATGCCACCAATTGAGAAAAAACAACACATGTTGAATATAAAAAAGAACATGTCAGAAGATTTGGCCACGCTCCCTCCAGTAGGACGTAGGGAAGGTATGGAGCCAGTACAAGTAAGATTTGAGACATGAACTTGAATTGTTTGAACAAGTCATACGCCATATTCCTATCTGATCCAAGTAAAAGTAAATGTTCTCATACCTTTGTGGAACAGCTCATGGAGGCACTCTGTACTCTGGCTTAGTAAGGCCCAGATCTCTTCTTCCTCCAGGGGTCCTCCTCTTACTTCCAGGGCCTCGGCCAGTGAGACATGCATCTTATCTAAGAACCAAAAGAAAACAAGAGGCATATGACAAAGCTTCTTACACCAAAAAAAAGCTGAAACCCACCAGAGATTACAAAAACTATAATCTTATACTTTTCACTCTCCCACTACCCTTTCCACCCCCGCACTGTACTTGTTTCCTAAGTTAACCACTGAACGCTGACAGGAACAAAATTATAAGAAGTAAAAGAGAACAAAAGGCCATTCAGTCTACCACAATTATTTTCAGGTTCCAATGTGACTGTTTGACCCAAATATTCATCCCCTCTGCTTGTTGGCAAAACAGGAACTGATCTGACTCCCTCTTGAATATTTCAATGGAGGTGACAATCTATTTCTTTATTGGGTGACAATGCAAAAAGAGGGTAGGTTTTGAGACAAAATGAACTTTCAACATTAAGATATTAAATACTGGACGTACAATATGGATCAATCCCCTTCCATTCCGAAACCCACCCATGTATGTTTAATTTGATCCCTCTCTTTTGGCCTCAAGTTTGTAATTCTTTTAAAATAAAAAAGTTTCTTCTTTGCCATCTCTTTAATTTATTTTACTTTTATTTCTCAAGTGTGTTCCCTTTATCCATCTCATTCCACTTCAGATATGTAGATTTGATTTGGTTTCTATTTGTTTAATCCAACTCTTTTATTTGTAAAATAAATAGGGTACTGTGATAAATAGATATCTCCCCCACCCCACCCCCACATCATCTCGGTCTCTGTCATGTTAATATACTGTAAACCCAAGCTCAGTCCTTCATCGTTTACCCAGGCTCTATTACTTTAAATCAATAGAAATCCGGTCAGGATAGCTCAACAACAAGGATACTTCTATGTTGTTACCACTTTATGACCTCACAACAGCTGCTGATGCTCCCACTGCTATTTCATAATCAAACATGCTAGCAGAGAAAAATGACAAAAAAATAAAAAAAAACTTAAAATCAATAGTGAAATGCTCCTTTGAATTACTTATAGTGAGGTAGGCTACCAGATCAACTCAACGGCAGAAGTGGTCAAACTATAACAGCCATAGAAATTTATAGGGAACCTTAGTAGTTTAATACTTTTATACTTGATACTTTAATACTTAATACTTTTAACATTTAGTGAGGGCACATTCCTAATCATGCACCACATCAAAATGTAAATCAGCCCAAGAAATGGTACCATTTTATAAGTACCATTTATAAGAATTCTATATAAATGTCTGATCAGCCAATTTTGTAACTGATTTAACATTCAGTTACAAAAATTTAAGATTTGGCTTCATTGGATTTCCATACCCAAAGAAAGTTCTTATTAGGAGAGGTGAAACGAAAAAATGTAATTAAAAAAAAGGGTTGCAGGCGGTGTGATTAGTGTTACCAATTACCATTGCAATACGCTGTTTTTTTATTATTATTGTTTATAAGGTGAAATTTTGGACTGAAGCTTTCACAAACAGCATCAGATTTTCAGTCTTTTTGGGATGCATCTCTCCCAACAATCTCTCCAGACCATCTCCAAAGAAAGACAATCTGTACAAAGGTTGTGCATCTACATTCCAATTTCATGGGCTACTTGTGACATGGGCAAGCAACAAATTTATTTTACTCCCCACACATCCACTTCGTCTGTCTGAAAACTGAGATTATATCTTGGACCATCACATCGTATCGTAAAAGATATTTCTATCAATAAAAATAATTTATGAATGTTTCTACTCAACTTTAAGGTGCAAATGAACTTTTTAGATCTCAACAGAAATATCCTGGCGTTTCTTTAGTCTGCAGGAGAACCCAGGAACTATTTCCAGCTCATCTTCATAAGATGAAACATTCATTTGATCTATAGTAGCTGCTCTTTGAAGATGAGTTTATCAGAGGTTATTAAAATATAATGCTACACTGCATCTCACAAAGACATTTTCTCTACTGGGCAGTCAATCCACTTGCTACTGAAAACACAGTGATCCGGGACACCTTTGATCTTTACCAAATGAAATGTCTGAAAAGCTGTTTTAATCTGTGCTGTCTGCACTATCTACCCGTATAATTTTATTCAGATGTATTTTTAAAATAGCCTTAAAAAACACGTGATAAGCAATAAATTGAACTAACAAGACAATCAGAAACAGGACCACCCAATGTAGTTATTTATCCACCATCCAGCAACATCCAATTTTAATTTTAAGAAACCTACGAAAAAGCTTGAACTGTCCTCATCAGACATCCATCCCGCTGCTCAAACCATTGGTTCCTTAGCCACGAGTTTACTATTTTTACTCCTTTGGTTCTTTCTCTCATCATTCACCTGTATATCTATCTTTGCCAACAAAACAGTCTTTGCACTGATAGTAAATCCTGTAAAGAGCTTTGAGATGTGTAAGCTGCTACATCAAACACAAGGATTAATATTATTATTCCAAGTACTGGTAATTGAATTTACCTAGAATTAAGGTTGCCTGAAACTAAATTCGGAGCTGTTCAGTCATGTTCGTAACATTGATCAAAAAATAACTTGCCAATTTTTTTTTCACATTTCACTAATCCATTGTATTCATTGTTTCTGTCCAGATTCAATAACGCTTATTATGCTTGATTTTTTTTAAACTTACCAACTTTTAAGGCGGAATGGGGGAAAAGAGATAGTAAAAATTCTGTTTTAGAAATGAATGTAACAGACACAAAATAAATCAATGCTTACTTCAAAATGTCCAATGACAAAACATCAGTAGGTGCTTAACATTCAGTATCTAGGCAACATTACCACATTCTCCGACGAAAATGACACATGCCAGAAGTTAGTCATCACTGAGAGATTAGGTTTAGCATTGGGCTTAATTTGCACATCCGTAATTTCATTAGAATAGGCAGAGCTCCTATAAATTATCGAAATGGACAGGCAAACATTCCTTAATACTGTACTTTAACAGTAAATATTCATAATACATCCAAAGTAAAATATTCTGAGCAATGCAGTGAGAGAGGCAAGGGGAAGGCAACAATTCCTAATAGAGATGTCATTGTGGCTCAGTTGGTAACACTTTTACCTCAGAATCAATAAAATCCGGTGAAGCCCTTTAAATGTTGACATGACGAGATAAGGTACCATATAAAATGCAATATTTTTTTTATTATTACATTATTAATAATAAAAATTATACCATAAAGTCAAACCCAATTACCTGGATTATAGTTTACATCTCTGTTCTTCACTTCATCAGAACATATGCGTTTTTCTATGTGTAAAATACAATACCAGTGAAAATACATACAAACTGAACATGATCTGCTGACATTCACAAACATAGAACAGTCCTTTCAAACCATGATTCAGCAAGCCATCTAGAAAAAGATAGATTAGGCAATTAAGATGATCCTCTCTTGCATCCTAGTGTTTTAGTCTTTAGTCAAATCTGCATCTGGCTCTATTCATAAGCAATTGTTGGAAGGCACTATGGGTTGAATTTTTTTGTGCTCCATAATTTCACATTCTTAATGGTAACACAACAAAGTTGTATTTTTCCCTAAAGACGATCAACTTTGGTGCAACAACAACTTGCATTCATATATGGCCTTCATGTAAGGCAATTCACAAGCATGTCATTTGACACAGAGTGGGGGCCGGGGGGGGGAGGGGGAGGGCAGAGCTAAGATTTGAGAAGGGACTTGAAGACAGAAAGTGAGAGGGCGAGGTCAAGTGGTAGACGCAAGGAATTCCAGAGGACAGCTTTGGATAAGTGGCATTTCAATCGTTAAGCACTCCAAACAAAAATCCCATATCTTTCCAAATGAGGAATTTCTAAAATGAATTTGAGTGCGGTGTTAAGTTGGGTTTGAGTATCTTAAGGAGCAGTAAACAACCCCATATTGCTGATTAAATGCAGAGGCTGTATTTAATCAAAGCACAGGAACCATCTCTTGCCAAAGACATTCCAGACACACAATCATTATGCAGTCGCCCTTCATTTTACCACAGCTTTGGTTTCATTCTATTCTGGTGAAGCTAATGAGACACCATAAACACTACTCTCTGCCACTGTGCTCCCATTGTGACCAATTTTTGTCACTATTTGCAGAACATTACTATCTTTCAATCCAGCTTGCATACACATGGTTGCTGTAGAGGTATTTTTATAGCCTTGCCAGGTCAGCAGTGGAAGCAGAAAATGTCTCTTTTGACTTCAACTAGGAGGAAACGGGATAGAGGGAAAGAAACTAAGTAATTAATACAATAATATTAACCTTTGCAATTAATATAATAATAATATTTGATATGGATGTCACCACATGAGACATCTTCCTGACATGAAAGGCACTATATGAATGTAAAATGCTTTGCATCTTTCATGTAAGGAGGCTGTCGCAATACAGTTCACAAGATTTACTATTAATTGTAGTGATTGAGAACTTTGTCAAAATGTATCACATAAAATTATAATATTCAATAATTGTGTCAACAAAACATAGTAAACACATTAAACAAATATTATTAACAGGTCATTTACTCATTAATAAAATGTCCCAGTCCTTTAAATGCTGAAGTCTTTTGGCTGAATGTTTTTTTAAGAGCACACAAGAAATGCTTCATTTTGCCTCCCACTTATAGTTTTGGTCTCTCAAATAACTTGTATTGGGCTTGTCTCTCTACATCAAATAAACCTCACGTTCACTCCCTTCTCCTGCATAAACTTGTCCTCTCACGTAGTTTGGCACTGATATTCACCCATCTGTCAAATAACTCATAGAATCTAGACTCAGTTGCCATTCTTCTAAGAAAAAGTGACTTGCTGGATCTTCCATTAAAGAAGACATTATAGCTGGTCTTGTTACTCACCTTAGAGGGGGTGCAGTGTAGATTCACTAAGTTGGTTCCTGGGACAAGGGGTTGACCTATGAGGATAGGTTGAGTAAACTAGGTCTATATTCTCTAGAATATAGAAGAATTAGAGGTGATCTTATAGAAACCTATAAGATTCTTAAGGGTCTTGACAGGATAGATGCCGTGAGAC